ATTATTCCAATACCATTGGGAAAATACGGACCTGTACTATCTCGCTCTTGGAAATGTTGTGTTTTCTCTGGTGGTAAATGGACTATGAATGGAGTATAGAAGAAACATTTCAAAAACTGTTGATGCACACTTTATGGCACTTGGAGAAGTGAATGAGGTACGGATGTTCTTGAAATTCCTCGTTTTTATAATTTGTTTTATTCTATGGATGTTTATGCTGATATTGTTTTGACTGAAAAATTCTACCACAAAACAAATAAACACTATTTTAAGGCTAAATTTTTAGTTCTGTGACTGACATTGCCGAAGAAAGTGTTTGTAAAATTATAAGAGGTACGACAATCTAGTACTTTTTTGGCATTCATGTGCTAGGTTTAAATGTTTAGCTGTACCATAAACTTCGAGAAACCAATAAGTAATTATGCATGACTATAGGCATTTCCACACTTAGCAGCTGTCTTCTTATTCAGTTAGAACGAAATAATTCCATTTGAGGCTATGTGGGGCTGTAAAGTTTTATCTGATTTTCAGTTTATACATCAAACATATACGTTATTTCATTAGAATCATTTGGATCTATAATTTTGTATTTATTTTATATTTTACGTTTGAAATGATGTCTACTAAGTAGCTCAAAACGTTAATCCGAACTTTAAAAAAAAAATCAAAATCTAAGAATTTTGTACTCAATCGCTTCTTAATACAGCACAAAGTACGATTCAACAGCTTTTTTAATTCTTCTTGTATTCGATGGAACAGGGGCCCTCCGGAAATATACTATTTGAGAATTTGAGACATTTTTCGGTATTTAATAATAAACCACTTTACTTAAAAATGACAAATGAGAGTTCTCTAGAAATAGGCGAAGTTTAGCCACGACTTCTCGTACACTTAACCTATTTCAGGACGAATGCTCGACGTAACAAAAGGAATACATATAACCTTAAAGAATTATGGAACACAGCAAACATCCAACAAGACGCCTATAAGAAAAAATAAAGTTGATGCTGGATTACAAAAGACGAAACGTTATATTAAACCATCTTGTAGCGGAGAATAAGGCAATGTGCAATTTATTTTGAAATCTCACTACAAATAAAGCCAGGGAAAAATTAAAACGATTGTGGGAATTCGGTGTTTTCCGTCTCTCTCTGGAAGTACTTTGAATTTCGAAACTTTCTAAGCGGCATTTTGTTGATTGCCCCCATTAGTGCGACTTCGTATGTCTTACAGTTCCCGATATCCCAATGGTCGGGGTCGAATTTGAAACACCCTGTATATGCATTCATAAATAACCACGGCTAAATGTGTTTGCTTCCGTCTCCAGTTGCTAAAGAGTACAAAACAGCGCTGTCTGTTTTTTGGTCATGGTTGTAGAGACAGAAAGCAACCGCGCATTTCAACCTCTTCCTACGTGTCTTGGTTTCCATCCCGTCTCCCTCTTGGAGTCCTCTGGATGTCATAGACTCTAGAATATCTTGCTTTCAACTTCTTGGAGGTCTACCCCGTTTGCGACGCTCTAGTGGTACCCACTCATAGACTATTTTTGGCCTTGTTGTGTTATCCATGCGTTGAAGGTGACCATGCCAAAGTAATCTTTTTGTTTCAATCGTTTCTAAGATGTTGTGGTCTACATCAACCTCTCTTTATGTCTTTTCGTCATCTCCCATATTTCTGAGCCATAGGTACAGATACTTTCTACTATAGCTTTGAATATCAATTTCTTTGATTTGTTTTTCACTCTAGTACTTCATAGAATAGAATTTAGCTGTCTAATTGGTCTTTTACCCTGTGCTAATTTATTTGAAATGACTTGGTTGCTCTTGTCTTTCACCGTAAACGTTAAACCCAGATATTTGAATGATGTTGTGTTCTGTACGCTATGGCTTCTAACATCCAAATCTCGTTTATTTTTACATCAATTGTCAATCCCCATATGTATTACAGCTCCCGAGGTCCCAATAGTGAGGGTCGAATATGAAGCATCCTGTATATGCATTCATAAATAAATACGGTTAAACGTCTTTGCTTCGTCACTGTAACCATGACCAACCGTAGTCTGTCTCCAGGGCTACTATACCCATACCGCACTGGTGAGTTGCTAAAGAGCACAAAACAGCGCTGTAGGTTTTTGGTCGTGGTTGTAGAGACAGAAAGCAACCGTGCATTTCAACCTCTTCCTACGTGACTTGGCTTCCATGAGAGAATGACTTTATCCATTGCCAATGTCTTGGAATTATATATACTCGTATATATATATAAGAAAAAGTAAGAAAATACTTCATGACCGCTCGGGTTACCTATCCTATTTTCTGCTCGAATCCACTTTCCTCGTTTTTGCGGATTTTGCCCATTATTTTCCTACTTTTTCTTATATACCTTTCTCCGCATGATCATTGTCTCTTTATATATATACGAGCCCCTCCCCACTTCAGTTGGCCCAACTATTGAAATCTTAGTTTTTTTCTTATCAAACACAAATAATAAAAATGTAGCAGGGTGTTATAGGTTTAAAATATTAACAATGAATATTTTGATAATAATGGGTGATTTTTTTGCCAGTGTCTTTTTGGCAACACTGTTTTTGACAGATGACGCTTGAATCGTGTCTTGTTTCATTGTCAAACTTGTTCAGTTTGGTCTATAATTTAACCATGAATCGACTTACGAACGAACAACGCTTGCAAATTATTGAATTTTACTATCAAAGTTCATGCTCGGCTAAGAGAGTGCATCGAGCACTGCTTCCAATTTATGAGCAACTTGATCGGCCTACTGAGGGAGCTATTCGGAAGCATGTGACTAAATTTCGAACCCAGTTTACATTATTGGACATTTAACCACCAACACGCAGACTGAAGAAAATATTGCGGCTGTATCCGCCGGTGTTAGTGATGACCGTGAAATGTCGATTCGCCGCCGTTCGCAGCAATTGGGCCTCTGTTACTCCACTACGTGGAAAATTTTGCGACAGGATTTGGGTGTAAAACCTTATAAAATACAGCTGGTGCAAGAATTGAAGCCATACGACCTCCCACAACGTTTCCAATTTGGTGAATGGGCGCTGGCAAAGTTGGAGGAAGATCCACATTTTTATCGAAAAATTGTGTTCAGCGACGAAGCTCATTTCTGGTTGAATGGATACGTTAACAAGCAAAATTGCCGCATGTGGAGTGATGACCAGCCAGAAGCATTGCAAGAGGTACAATGCATCCCGAAAAAATCACTGTTTGGTGTGGATTATGGGCCGGTGGCATCATCGGGCCGTACTTCTTCAAAGACGACATTGGCCGGAACGTAACTGTGAATGGCGAGCGCTACCGTGCGATGATAACAAACTTTTTTTGCCCAAAATGGAAGAACTCGACTTGGCTGACATGTGGTTGCAACAAGACGGTGCCACATGCCACACCGCACACGAAACAATGGCCCTATTGAGAGGCGAGTTCGGTGGACAGTTTATCTCACGTTTGGGGCCCGTCAATTGGCCGCCTAGATCGTGTGATTTAACGCCGTAGGACTATTTCTTGTGGGGCCATGCTAGGGCTAATATCTACAGGGATAAACTAGCAACGATTGACGCACTGGAAGCCAATATTGAAGCATTTATTCGAGAGATACCGGCCGATATGTTGGAGAGAGTGTGCCAAAATTGGACCTTGCGCATGGGCCATCTAAAGCGGAGCCGCGGCCAACATTTACATGAAATAATCTTTAAATATTAAATTATATCGACCGTTCTATCGACTCAAATGAAGATTTAATCGTTTTTTCAAATTTTGTGTGTGTTTTTTGAAAATCAAATCCTATACCTCTTAAAAAATCACCCGTTGTATAGTAAAAAACACCAACTTTATCACACCCTAATCAAATTTGCAGCATAAAAATAACACATGTTGCAATTACAGCATATCAACCTATTTTCATTTCAATGCAAAATAAGTCTATAACGCATAGGTGGCTGAGCAAAATAAAAGCCATGACAATTGTTTTTATTAATCACAGCTGTCAGAATACGTTTAAAATAGTTTTGGGTAGTTAATGTTTTCAAAATGGGTAGAGGAAAGCTTATTAATGAGAAAATTCGGGTACTGATAATTAAATTTTTTAATTCTGGGAAATCGAACTCAGAAATTGCAACTTTGTTAGACTTATCGCGGTACAGTGTGAGAAATATTGTTAGAAGATATAACGTAACTGGCTCAGTTAATATTAAGCCACGATATGTGAAAAAAAGTAATATCACAAATGCCGACCGAAGAGCATTAAGAAGAATAATCGTGAAAAACAGGCGTGCCCATTATTTACAATTAAGTGCTCTGTGGAGTGACGCTGTTGGAAGGAGAATTTCGAGGTCCACAACTCATAGAGAGGCCCACAAACTGGGATTTAGCACTTGCAAGGTAAGTTTTCTTATAAAAAAAGTGAAGTAAAGACCCTAAAGTTGCACAACTCGTTTATAGGCCAAAGAAAAGCCACTATTAACTCCACTGCAAAAGAAAAATCGGCTTAGATGGGCTAAAGAACATAGACAATGGACGCCTCAACAATGGTGTGCAATACAATGGAGTGCAATACAATGGAGTGATGAGGCCCGATTGGAAGTTTGTGTTGGTGACAGTCGCAGTAGAGTTATTCGCAAAAAAAAATGAAGCATTCCGTTGACTGTCTGAAGAGAAAAGCGAAATTTCCAGCATCTATTATGGTCTGGGGCAGTATGTCATCAAAAGGAGTAGAAAAACATTTTATTGATGGAAATGTGGATACAAACAAATATTTGGCAATTTTAGAAGAATCGCTTTTACCAGTGATGAAGAATGTTTGACATCCGGCCAAGATTTGGTGTTTCAGCAACATGGCGCAGCGTGCCATACCTCAAAAAAGGCTATAAAATGGATGGAAGAAAATAATGTACCACTTTTGAAATGGGTTGATAGCAGTCCAGATCTGTCACCTATTGATACTTTGTGGCACGAGATGAAAAAGGTTCTACGACAACATCCTGCTCGTACAATCACCGAACTGAGACAAAAGCTTCAAGAAATATGGGATTGTTTTACACCAAATTTTTGCCAAAACTTGGTTAACACTATGCCCCAAAGAATTTCAGCAGTAATAAAAAATAAAGGTGATGTTACCCAATGGTAATCCTTCAATTGTTGCTTTGTTAGCTTCGCGCATTTATTCGCACATTGTTTATTTGTTCAGATGTCCTATTAGTTTCAAGTCTAAGTGATTTCAAATATGTATTTTTTACGACTAGAGTGTATCTAAAATGTTTTTGAGAAAATAAACTGTTTTAGAAGTAAATAGTTTCGTCATGTTTAGTTTATAAAGGCATATTATGGTACAAATCTTGAAGTGGGCCAACTGAAGTGGGAAGGGGCTCGTATACTCTTTGCGCGGGCACTCTTAAAGTTTGGCTCAGGACGAACGAGTTTGCTGGCTGTTCCGGCCTCCGATACTACTAAGCTTAGAAGTGTACAAGCATACTCGCTATATCCAAAAAGGTTTGAAATGAATTGAGGCAAAAACACCTTCATACATAAATTCGGCTTTGCAATCGAAAAGTTCTATAATTTTGATAGGTACTGTATGTGCACTCACAACATTAATGCTGACCATTGTTATTTTCATATGATAAGTACGACTATCGGGTGGGGTGACTAATAGTATAAAATAGGTACCACAGACATCCAGAAGTTTATTTTTCAGTTTACTGTACCGATCATATTGTACCGATCAACTTCGCTGGCTGATAGAGGTAAGAGTCTTTTATTTTCTATACGATCTTGACTAACAGTTTTTAATGTATTTCTTTATAATTATTGGTATTACTGTGCACGTTTTCCTTTTATTTTGCACACAAAATCCAAAAATACTTGAAAAGCTCTAGATTTAATGTTTAAAAACCGTATTTCAGCAGTCTTTGAATTTTAGTATTAATAATAGGCATTACTCTTAAAGAACTTAGCAGACGAAGGTCATTCTTTTGCCTGGTTTTGTCCACTTTTTAATACACGCTTAGCATTCTGAACGATACAGTCACTATTTTGTACCTGTTATAATCTATTCTGTGATAATTTTGAGGTTTTGATTGTAAAAAAGTACAAAAAACAAAATAATAAGAAATGGAGTCAAGTAGTTCTCATGCATTAATATCGAATATTTTCAATTTATTCAAACATACAAACTCTGAATCTCTTAAAATTGTTTTTGAAGCCTATAGAATATAAGAAATGAGATTTTAAATATTCAGTTCAAAAGTTTGTATTGATATTTGCTTAAAAAATGGAAATCTAGTGCCCTCTCTTTTTTAAAAATAAGCTCCAGTGTAATCACTTCAGAATCAGAAAAAAGAGTTTGGGTATTTTTAGGAAACACACAAAAACTGAGTGAAGTACGAGTATATTGGTTTCACATAAATTCATGTACGAGTATACACATTCTGGATCTGCCCTTATCTCACATATGCCTGACTACTTTGGGGCATGGTCGAAGAATTTTCGGAAAAGTGATGTCTTTGTAAATTCCAAAATCTAACAAAAAAATTCCTGATCTTCAAATTAGAGGATAATCGGAACCATTCTTGTTTGATAATGTTTGCAATATCTCTAAAAATAAAGTGGTGGCGGGGTATTCAAGGGTTTCCGTAAATAACACCCTGTATCTTAACGGCTCAACCGATTTTAACAAATTTGGCTTAGTTGAAAAGAGCTATTCTTGAACTACAAATTTTATAATATTTAAAGTTTTTCTAGTTTCATATGTGGCTGCTAGAGGGCTTTTTTCGACATCCCGACAGAAATGGTGAATTTTCTCAAAAAATTAATTGCATTGGTATAATTTTTTTTAAAAAGTAGCTTAATAATGTCAGACAATCTTACAAAAACGGAATCTTGATATCTTGTTCCTAACCTAAAATTTAGGCGAAAGAAAATTTTATACGGAAATCCCTTAAATTTTTATTTTTTTAATAACATTTCTGGAATTTCTTTTTATTATTAACATGTGGCCCTAAAAGGTTGTTGGAGGACCAGAGACGAAACCTCATATTAAAATTCTAATTATGTCGTCTTATGTAGGAGAAAAAGTAGCAATGTTAACATGCATTTGGAATCCCATCTCAAATAAGGTCAGGAAAAATAAAAGTGATTTTAGCATAAATCTAGTAGGGCTAACAGATGGCTATCTGATAATTTCAAGGCCTACCTAGGAAATTCTGCTTTTTCTAAAATAACTAAGGTTTGGCAACATCATTGTATTACGTATTATTATACATTTTTGGAATTAAAATTGAAAATTCTATGCATTTGTGCAAACATCTGGAGGACAAGAAGCGAAACGTCACATTGAAATTCTAATTATGCCAGCTTGTAGAGGAGGAAAAGTTGCACTGTTAGTGTGCAATTTATTTTGAAATCCCACTATAAATAAAGTCAGGGAAAAATCAAATTGATTAAAGTTTGGAAAAATTTGTCTAAATGTAACTTTTCTGTGCCTCCTGTAGTGCCTGCTGTACCTACCAAAAGGCCCTCACAGCGCTGAGCAGCTCAACGAGGACGAGTTTGTGGTCGCCTTAATCGAGAAGGACGGGGTTTCTAGAAACGCCACCTGCTGGCATACAGTATACTTGAGAAGGTAGGGAGTACTAAAGTTTGAATACATATTGATTCTTTATTGATTCAGAATGCGAGATGTAGCAAACAAGAGTTGCGGAAGAAGTCCAGTTTTGCTGCAGGTACTATAGCTGTGATTATATGTGTGTAGTCGACAAGGCTTTGAGATATATCTCGCACTCCGAATCCTGCATTCTGGATTATTAAAGAATTTAAGTGTGTTCGATCCTCAGCCTATGAAACCGGCCTCTGTTTTTTCTTATGATTCATATACAGGGTTATCCAAATTAAGTGTCCACCATTAGTAACTTTGTTATTAGTGAAAATACAAAGTTGTTTGAATTAGCAAACTAGTAGCATTTTTAACGCTGGTAAAAATGAGAAATAAAAAAAAACAATTGAGAGTCGTTATTTTGATTTTTTTCAGTAAAATAACATTTTTTTAAATGGAAACCCCTGTATATTATATTTTTTTCTGTTAAAGCATCAAATTTTAAACAAAAAAGCTTACAATAACTTTTCTCCTAGGTTACAAATTGTTGAAGTTATGGCCTCCAATCTGAAACAATTAAATTGTATCGACAAACTTCATTTTCAACATCAACTTATAATCTTACAAAATACAATAACAATTTTTTTTAAAGAAGATGCTCGAAAACACCACCTTGTTCTTCAATACATTTTTGGGCACGTTTTTCAACTGCTCGAACTGTCTTAAGTATGGTCCTACCATCTATCTGGGTTATCTTTTCCCTCACTGCAGTCTTTAACGCGTCAAGGTTATCGTACCTTCGCTTGTAAATTTGGTTCTTTAAGTAACCCCACAAGAAGTAATCAAGTGGGTTTAGATCTGGTGATCTGGGAGGCCACTGTATTGGGCCATTTGTTCCTATCCACTGATCATTAAAAGTAGTACTTAGAAAATGATAAGTACCTCTGGAGTTGTGGGCAGGTGCGCCATCTTGCTGAAAATGCAGATGATGTCTACTTATAAGATCCAATTCGTCTAAGAAATTAGTCAGAATTTCTGACATAAATTCCACATATCTTTCACCAGTTAGGGTTCCCTCATAAAAGAACGGGCCAACAATTTTTGAACCAATTATACCGCACCAAACGTTGAAACTGAAACGGACTTGTGGGCCTCTTGGATGTACTAACAAAAGATTTTCTCTTGACCAATAATGGTGGTTTTTTCTATTAAACATTCCAGAATTTGAAAAATTTGATTCATCTGTCCATAAAAGGTAACGAAAGTTATTTACATTTTGGCGACAGAAGCTAAGATACCAATGGCAAAAAACAAGTCTTCTCTCTGGATCCCCTGCCAAAAGCGTTTGAACTGGTCGGTACTTATACGGAATAAATTTGTATTTTCTTAAAATCCTTTGAACAGTACCATAACTGAAATTAGAGTCCTTGAGAATATCTGCTATTGAATTCTCACGATAAGCTTCAAAATATCCAATAACTGCAATTTCCGTGGCCTCGCTTATTATGAATTCTTTTTTTGCCCTTGTTTTAGCAAAAACATTTTCGTTGCCCCTAAGTTTTCGATAAAGTCTCAGAAAATATCGTTCATACGGTTGAATGCGAGCGGGATATAATTCACTGTAGTATTCTCTTGCTCTCAAGGAGGATTTTCTGCACACTAAATAGCATTCTAACATATCACACTTTTCTTCATGGGAGAACATTTTTCTTTAAATTAATGACACAATAAAGCTTATAAACAAGTATTTACACTAATGTTTGACATTATTTGATTTTATCATTGTTTTTCAAAGCCTTCTAGTTGCGAGTATGTCCAGTTTAACAATTTGTCGCTTATCTTAATGCTGTCAAATCGCGAACGCCATGTTGTTTTCATAGCCGTCTTAATATTATAATACTGCAAATAATTAAAAATATTTATCGTTATTTTGTCTTTATTTTGGACTTTAGCGGAAAAGTCATTATGAACTTTTTGGTTTAAAATTTGATGCTTTAACAGAAAAAAATATAATATACAGGGGTTTCCATTTAAAAAAAATGTTATTTTACTGAAAAAAATCAAAATAACGACTCTCAATTGTTTTTTTTATTTCTCATTTTTACCAGCGTTAAAAATGCTACTAGTTTGCTAATTCAAACAACTTTGTATTTTCACTAATAACAAAGCTACTAATGGTGGACACTTAATTTGGATAACCCTGTATATTGTCAAAAGTTTCGTAACAAATTTTATACACAACTGATTTTATTCAGTTTGAGGACCCGTTACAAAGTTGTCACAAACTGAGAAAACCCATCATCTAGTCTTTGAAGTACTCGACATTAATGTTGATAAAATTATATTTTCCGTTCCCGAAGAATGTATTCAGGAGGCAAGGGGAACAGCCGCCCTCCTTCCAGGCATGAGAAGGTGAAATGAACAGACCATTTTTTATACGATACAAAAATGTTCTATGTACTCTTCACGTCTTGAACCAATATATATATATATTAGATGGGGAAATATTTAGGACTAGTTAT